GGGAAAGAGGACCCTGAGGAAAAAGTTACTGAAGTAATATGGTGAAGGATGAACTAGACAGTGAAAGAAAGTAAAAAGTACACATATTTTCAGCAAGAATTCAACATACAGTAAGCATGCAACAGTAGAAGGAAGGTATTTAGGGGGAAAAAAAAGCACAATTTTTAAAAAAGCAGATTTTTCAAAACAGAGTGGTTTGGAGACTTGTGTCTGATTGTGCGGACTTTGAAAGTAACTGAATAGCATCTTCTGTGAGAATTTGGTCATTTTTAGCCAAAATCACTTTTCTATACTAAATGTTTTCAAAGGAAGAAAATAAAATAGACCTTATATAGCTAAAGAGCTGCAGCCTCTGTATTGAGGCGTCTTTAACTTTTCCACAATATCTCTCCACCTTATCATTATGTTGTATTTTATGTGACATTTTATAATATGTGAATATTTACAGTTTAAGACTGTGGAAGTACCATGCCCCTCATTTCATTGTCAGGCAAGCATCATGAAATGTTGTCATCTCCTGTTTCTGTTCAGAATACATAATATTTCCAAATAGCTGAAATGAATATTTTTTTGCATTGACATGTACTTGCACACTTACCAAGACTTTCTTACACATCCTGTATCTACAAACATGCTTGGATGGTAAGACTGCAATGGTTTGTGGTCCTAAAGCTTCCCTAGCATGTCCCAAATTCACAGGATACTCAAACATATCCAGTTACATACTTGAATCTAAGGTAAAAAAGCTGACATACAAATCTCACAAAAGCATTTGTGTCTATTGATGCTGCACCTGGGAAACCCTGCATGTGGCATTCATCACAGCAAGTGGAATAGATGTATGTAAAGAAAGTACATCAGATATCCCAGGACCAGAGAGTGGTATGTGAAAAACTGCTAGTCACGCTATGTCTTCTGATCTTTGCCTCTGAACAGATATACAATAGCTGGAACTACCATATCCCTGACCTAAACAAGCATAAATCCATTGAAAACAGTGGACCTGTGCAGCGCACTTCATTAACTTGAAGACCTAAATCTGGTCCAGGATTCCAAAACTCTCTTATTTGGTTCCCCAATTAATACATACTTTGGAGGAGACCTCTGCCTCTAACATGAAAAATTATTTTGCATGGCAGCTGCTACTAACCCCTTAGATACCTACTGTTCCATTCACTTCATTTTACTTCTTGTGTTGACAACCAGAACTGAACCCTAAATTTTATATTAAAGTAGGGTTTTATTTTTCTAATTCCTAAATAGAATAAATGGCAAGTTACCACTTTGTAAAAACAAAACCTCATAAACCTTTGTCCTGGCAATTTTGTTATTTGAAACACACTACAAACATCCAATCAAAATACACTGATAACCATTCTCCCACTTCAAGGGGAACCAAGTCCAAGGGTTCCCTAGGATAAAAAGTGTGCCTACTATGATGGATTACTGAGATGACTGTAACATACAATTACGATGAAGCACTGTCTTCAGACAGTGAATTTACCATTTATTTAATAATTTTAAAATGTCATAGAACAAAAAATTCAGAAAAAAGGAAACACCGATGCACTCCAGGAAGAGACTGCATCAAAAGTAATGTTCTACTTTTGATATTACAGATAAGTGTTGGTCCAGGAGATAAAATGAAGCAAATAATGGTCTTCAAATATCATGATTGATTTTACAAAAATACCCTGTATTTCAGCAAAGTACAACGGAAAACTAACTTTTGGTAAGGTGAAGCACAAAAATAAAAATTCCTGTGAATGTGGTTTCTCTTACGAATTAAAAAAAACAGATTTGTGTCATGGAAGTTCTCTCCTGCCTATGACAAGATTTTATTTCTTCAGAAAAGGTGTATTTTTAGCTGAAGAGTTGAAGTTGACTTGATTGTACTTTTTTTTTTTTTCCTTGAAAATTGTTTCAGATATACTTAACTCAACCCATGTTTAAAAGATGCATTTAGTCCACAGAAAGTGTTGAAATTACTCAGAGGTAGAAAAGGAGATGATTAAAAAAAAAAAAAAAAAAACCAGCAGCCAGTCACAACTGATTTTCTGTGCTAAAATACTTCTGATTATTTTTGTTAAAAACCAAAATTCTTTCCAGGCTGCACTTCAAATTCAGCTACCAGCAACTTTTCATCACTTCTATGATAAATTTCCTCTCGATTTTTGCCCTGGTCACTTGAGTTCTTTCTTTTACTTTTCCATGTTTTGCCAGCTTTCTAATCTCAATATAAATCACAGAATCAATTTGACAAGCTTTTGAGAGTTCCTGGAAATTTTTCTTCTTTTTCATTGAAAGGCTAATTTGAAACTCTGGAAGTTTTTTGTAAGATGCTTTATTAGTAGTATGATTTGTTTGGTTTTTTTTTTATTTCCACAGCACAATGGGAAAACAAGATTGTGGACACTTATCAAGTTTTACACATCTCTGTCAGTAAACCTGACATGTGAGTTGTTGCCAAGCAAGGGGGTAATAAGAGATAAGATCATAATCATTGTGCACTTTACTGATATGCTGTAATCAAATGTGGCAGATTTAGGATGTTCAGAAGGAACTGTGCTAAAATCTCTAAGCAAGCACTAATGGAAAGGTTAATACGATGGTAGTTAGCAGACACCAGCAAAAGCAGTTTGTCACTAGAACTGAATTTAAACCAGGCACATTCAAAGTCTTTAGCTCAAGGGGGCAATAAAAATATAGAATGGGTAGACTTAATACACTACTTCCTTTCTTTTTTATTGTCTAGCTACCAGAGGGTACCAATAATTTGTTATGCTTCATATTATATTTGGAGGCATCTGTGAAATTCATTCACTTGATAGAATAAACTCAAAGTGCATTTTTATGCTAACTCTACGGATTATACAAATGAACATTGACAGTGATAAAAAGTCTTGATTTCTACAAAGCAGCCACATGAATTTGGGAAACATAAAATGAAATGGGACAGCCCACAGTTTTAATATCTAAAACACTGATGGCATTGATGTACCTGCTGGTGTACGGTTCTAAAGAAATCTAAATTGTAGAACAAAAGCTGTCAGTCTTTCCCTCTTTTTTATATGCAGCCATCCACACACCAAAGTGGCACGTTCTTAAAGCGATGCAGTTTGAATTGCGCGGCTTCTATTATTTATGCAAAATGGGTGTTGAGCAGTCAAACTCCTATCTATTCTTTTACACTGCAAACAGATCAATTAAGGTGGATCTACTGAAAAAACATGTAAAAGGGTTTATGTGTGTTCAGTTCTGCAGTGTAGATTTCAGCAAGATCGCTTACTATCTGCAAAATTAGCACAACCGTTGTCACATTAATTACAGTATTTAAAACCTGCCTATTTGAATTCAGGAATTAGAGACCAATAGATGATAGATCTCCAGATTAAGCTATGTGAATTTAGCCAATGGGAGATACTATTCAATTAATACCTCAAGAAGATGAAATCAAAAGCTCTGAAAATCACTGTAAAATCATCAGTGTTTACTTCAAGACACTAGAGGATCATACATTTTTAGAGCACAGATGGAAAACACCAACTCGAATATGTTTTGAAACACAAATTCCACACTACCCCTTCAAAAAGAAGCTGTTTGTAGAAGCACGGTTTACATTAATCAGTACCTAACAATTTTATATACCACCTTTCTAAAATTCATTTGCATAATGATAATCCGCATATGGCAGGGTTTAAGTTATTTAAGCGGTGTTATATTTCACTATTTAGTCTTGCTTCACCACTGCTTTAGCAGTGAATCCTTATGGAGTGTAATGCAGCTAATGAGGTAGCTTTTTAACTGAACAAACTGACAGGTCCCATATCTGCAGAGGCAGCTTGAAACCGTGCCCAACCTCTCGGCTTCCCAAGAGGCTTTTCAAAATTCAATAAATAACATCTGTAGGCGATGTTGGGTGCAGACCTAGCAGAGTGCGTCATAACACTGAGCTGGCAGAACAAAGAAACCATGACGACTGCCAAGTTTCCATGGCAACCGCTGCGAGGCTTGGAGAGTATAATAGCACATCAATCATTGTCCAAAAGAACTTCATTATCAGCAAGAAAAAAACCCGTTAGGATCTGTTTAGTGTGCAATTGTGGGTTAACTCACCTCAAAGCCTTGCTCTCTAGCAAAAGTGGCAGCTTCCTGAAATAATAAAAAAAGAACAGTTAATTATAAAGTGCTAGATAATGAAGAAATAACACATTTTGAAACTCATTCAGCCAGTTCTCTTTTTATGCGATTATCTCAATATACCCATATACAGTTGTTCAGTTCTGATAGCTGCACCAAAAGCTTCCCCCTCCTTCCCTCAAGCCCAACAACAGTACAATGTCAACACATTTCACAAGTTCAAATAAAGAAGGTACAGTATGTTTTTTCCAGGCGAGCCTGGAAAGTTACTTCTGGAGATAGGAGTTGGACTAGGAAACCACTACTTCAAACCCAGACAAACATCCTTCAGACATATTTTTAATTGAAATTGCATCATATCTTCACTTACGTACAGCACTTCATGGGATTCAGGTTATCAAGTAACTTTAAAAAAATCATTTGTCATCTACAGTGCATTAGAAAAACAGGATCACAAAATGTGCTCAAGCCCTTGTGGTGGAATCAGATGAGCATTTTAAAATACTCTGATGTTTAATCACTACTTTAGGCAATTTAATTATGTTCTTTTCCTGAAAGAACAGAAGAAACATCAGGGTATCAGAATGTCCTCATCTCTTATTTATATTAATTGGAGCAATTAAAATCTGTTTTGAAATAAAAGCAAGGAGACAGAAGACAATAGCAATGTTTTCCCCGTACTCACTTTCTACCTTAACATTGCAAGCATTTAAGAAAACCCTGAAAGTCTTTATGTTTCCACTTGCATTCTTCCAGATTATCTTTGCCAAGTGTTATTAATAGAGGGCTAAGTCCTGAGCCAAAATGGTGAGCTGATCCAACAAAACAGAAATAACTACCGCACCAAACCATTTAAGTCCAGTGTCCCTACGATAGTTTTTAGTCCTGCAGAAAATACATACTTGTGTACCTATTATGATCTGCCAATTTGGGGGCAGCACAGGAATTTGAAGTGGGTACAACTGATTATAACAACAGTAAGTTGAGGTTAATAAAATGTGATAAGCTGAAAAGCACAACTCCTCAGGCTGCTTCACTGCAAAAACATAAGGCTGACCGGGTTAGCCTTAGCTGATGTTGACAGAAAAACTGAATCATGGTCCTGACAATTGGGTGCGGGCAAGGTTAGCCACTTTGACAATTTACTTACAATTGAATTCCTTCTTGTACATCACACAGCCAATGACATTTGCTAGCCTGGCTGTCGAGAAGGAGTATAGGGTTCAAAGATACCATGCAGTGTTTTCCTAAACCAGCATGTGATTAACAAAGCCTACGCTCATATGAAAAAAGGAGTCTGCATGCTTCCACTCTAAAGTGATGCACTTACAATGAACTGCAACACAATCAAGAAAGCCTCAAACGGGACTGGGACACAGAAAAAACACCAAAATAAGAGAAATAAGGGAGTGATAAGGGAGCAGAGAATAAGTAAATGGGCTAAAAATTACGTACTGTAGCCAAATTACTTCTTTAACCTCAGGTTTTTGGTCATGCAATTGAAATCGGAAGTTACACTGATCTGTCCTAAGGGGATTTCTTTAATGTCCCAGTGCAGCAGGACATTAACATCTGTGTTAAACTATTGTTTAGCCAGGAAACTGGACACCAGTACATGAAATAAAAACTATTCCAGTTAAGTAGTGTTTCCTTATGTGGGAGATTTTAAGAGAATTCATCTTAATTTTCTGTGCTGGAGCACCCATGCACAGCACATGTGGTTTGAAAGACCTGGCCCTCCTACAAGAAAGGATAAATGATTGCACATTTGTTAAAAAGTATCTCTTCTTTGGATTTTCCTGTTAGAGCATCATCTTTTAGTCTGGTCTGCTGCCTGGCTGCATGAATAATGGTAGCTAGCATACAATCATAGATTTTCCTGCAGTTGACCTCTAATCTAAGGGTGTCTGAATGCGCCAAAGAACAACAGCAATCTTAATTTTCTTCTCCTATCAACCGAACCTCAGAAAAACTCCCGAGCAGCTTCTTTCAGCAAGGGTTGTGCCTACAGCCCCCTAAGAATCAGCCTCTCTCAGAATTACATCCCTTTCAGAATTAAGGCCCTTTCAGTAAAAGAGATAATAAACCTCAAAACATGCACTTGGAGACTACAGTTTGGTGTTTGCAAAATGGTGAGAAATGTGAGGCAGGCCCTGAATGCCAGGGACAGTTCAAAGTAAATTAACCAGACAAAAGCGATGAGAACCTTTTAGTATCTATTCACAATAACAGTGAGAACAGGAAACAAGCAGAACCCATCTGTGCAGCCCTAGGGCACCTCATACTGAGCTTCACATCTCTAATAAAGTAGTCAGGTTAAAATCTAAGTGGCTGTAACATGTGGAGGCTGCTAGGGTTACAACGGCCAGCCGGGGCGTTCCCTGATGCAGGTGATAATCAGTATGATAATCACTATGTTTACAGGCTTTCCATTTTATATCTGACATTGGAAATCACGAAGAAGGAGGGATTAAGGAAATAAACAACCTACACAGAAGCTTTACTGCTCCCCAGAGAATGCAGCATTTTCATTCATGCGTGACATGCGACAACAGCAAGGCAAAACAGCGACAGAACAGAATTTTCTTAGGAGGCTTCATTTCACATGAGGAGTTCTTTCAGTTTTGATAAACTTTAGACATTATTCATTCATTACTCCAACTCAGCATTTTCAGAGCTATTTTCCATTATTGCTTACAACAGAACATCTTATTTCATAAAACCCTCCCACCCACCTTTTTACTCTTTTCACCCAAGAGTACTAAACATTATTTCATATTAAAAACTCACACTCCTTTTTTTACTTCTTCTGTAGAATCTTTTTACTAACCACAACAGTGAATTTACTGCTGTACCACCTAAGGTAAAAATGGCATTTGTTATTAGTTATGAAACATTATTTGGCTCGTGCAGGAAAAAAAATAAAAATCCTAAGTACAGTCATGCTGAAAAAACCCTATGTACAGCGTTATTTAATGGGAGTAACACTATGTCACCAAAGTTAACACACGCCCTCTCTTTGTACAATAGTGAGCAGTTTACACAGGAAAGCGAGATAATTTAAAGAGATAACAATAAAAAAGACAACTTCCCTTAGTACTGGCCTTGCTGTTATGTTAGAACTCACTTGCTAGCTGAAAACTATTTCCATTCTTGCATGTATTTTATTGCTGTTGGAGTCCCAGCATTCAGTAAATGGAGCTATAATCTACACTGGGGCTGATTTTAACAGGACTTGTTAAAATTCTGAGGCCTTTTATCACCAGCAATACAAACTATTTGTTTACAAGTAAACAGAAACATACCCTCCAAACACAGAATCTATTAGCATCTGCATTCCTAGGAGTATTCGCTAGCCCCCTGTGTTATAAGAATTTTATGATTATAGAGTTAAGATGCAATAATTGCACATTCGGTTTGCCATGACACACGGAAGGCACAGTATATATTAATTATTCTCAACACATCCAAATTTATTTTTTTTTTTTGTTGGTACCAGGATTTTATGATGACTTGATCAAATTATAGCCAAAATTGTACCAACATGCATATAGGGTTAAAATTAATTCATGTAGGCCAACATAAAACTCATGCAGTTGCATTGAACAGCATTTAAAACCCTGTATTGCCAAAATTAGCTGACAAAGACTGTTTCAAAAGCCTCAACAACACTATTATCTACAATATGCATTTTAACCTTTATATGGAGAAAAGGAGCACTGTAAACTAAATTTGCATTTCATTGCTGAAATCAACATTATCTCATAAAGAAATGATAAAACAGCAGGACAGCAATGATACCCTTGCACACTGAATGCATTTCCCGTAATTATACAAGAAAGCAAATGCAGGGGACACTGAAGCTAATCCCTCCCCTGCCATCTTTCTTGATAGAGGAAACATCTCACAGAATAACCTAATCTCACATATTACAGTACTACCCTGTGCAGTTCTCTAATTCTCTATTTTTCCTTGGGGGGTTGGAAACAGAAGGAAAAAAACCCACCAAAACAACCCCTGGATTTGATTCCCTTCTTCAAATTGGGAGATTAGTGGCAGGTTTTGAGGGAGTTCTTATTGCCATAACTGTAAACTTCCTGACTTACCCAAAATAATCCCCAAGCAAGCCCTATTCGCATTTTCAGGAATATCATCCTCTTTCTCTGCATAACAAATCTGTGACTCAGTGGGTACAGCCCAGCCCATGAATCTGTGTAATCTTAAACCAGCACACGTAAATACAGCATGTATAGCTGCAGGGAAAGATCCTTACAGTACTGTGCAGTGCAGAGTGCACAACAAAAATAAGGGAATAAAAAAGCAAATTTGAGTGGACTCATCACTGAGAAACTGTAAATGACTATGAGGACCATCCACTTAGTGTCTGCATTTGATGGAACCATTCATGCTGGTACCAGTCACGACTGATTATAACTTGAATAGTACTTCCGTCACTATGCCTTATGAGACATTTTAAACTGCTGAATCTAACTGCGAAATCTTCTAAAAATCAATCTTAAACATTTCCTTCCTTGCATACAGCTCACAAGGATGAATTGTTAGTTTTCATCCATTTATATTGTTTCATTGAACACATTAAAGGCTACGATTATCTCGCTCAGATAATTCCCTTTTTCTTCAGTATAATTATTTAGTACTATCCATCCCACTCATGAGTTCATCTCCAATCCTGATATAACTTTGTGTTCTTTGTATCTTCTCTTGCTTTCCTACAGATTGTCTTGTTTGCAGCAACAAAGCTAGCTTCACAAATCTCTAACATTAAAACCCTGTTATCTAAATGAAATGGGTGGCAACAAAGTAAATGAGCAAATGGGGATATAGGGAAGACTTTCATGCTAGTGATGCACACTGGCACCCACAACTTTATTCTGCAAAAGACTGACTCAAATAATCGAAGTTGGTTTATATTGACAATCTTCTTTCTTAGAGTCAGGTGCTGAAGATCTGTATTTGTGAAATAGACATTTTTATTCATGGTTTCCTAAAGG